TTTCACAGAGGACAGGGGGAGTTGTATGGGTGGGGTGAGGCGAGCTGGGGGATGGGTCAATGGGACTAAAGCGGCGAAAAAACGAGGCAGCAAACAAAAGCAAAACATCAAGAACCAAGGAGTAGCCGTTATCAACAGATGGTCAACAGCCAATCAAGGATTAAGACATAAAGTGATAAAAATGAAATGGTCAAAATAAAATCATTCCGGTTGTGGGTTTTTGTTAAGATTGGTTGTTAAATGAATTGATCAAAAGGCAGCCAACAACATAAAAATGGTGAGATTGAAGTTGGAAAGAATAAAAAGAGAGAAAGAACAAACAGAAAATGTGGTTAAAACCAATGTCCAACTGTATAATCCAGTGCCCAAAGAAAACCTGACATGGATTTGGAAGGAATGTGTGATTGGTATAATTTTACAAGACAAGACTTAATAAATATTACATATTCACCATCATTAGTCCTGACAAAAACAGACTGCATTGCTACGAGTAGCCAGTGTGGGGCGCTGTACTCACGCTGTCTACATCTTCCAGCATCTTGCTGGTCTCTGGCACATCAGGGGCGTTGGGCACGGTGACTATCATCGGTGTTCGTGTCCTTCCTAGTGTTCCAATAGAGGCTGTTTTAACAACGTGGGGGTGAGAGGGAGGCCCTGAATGTGACATGCACAAATATACAACAGTCAGTGAAGGCAACGAATGCCTGAAATGGAAACTACTCTCTCTGAAGAGTGAACACAAACCCGGATCACTTCGTGCTATTTGAGTTTCTAAACTGGATCCACTCAAGTTGTGAATAAGTTTAAGAGTGAGGACTCTTAAACTGAGGTCTAAAACCCAACAATGAATTGATCGCTACTGACAAGTAAATAAATAAATGTGCCTATTTACTCCTGAGTAACTTTGAAAATGTTTTGCCTTTTTCAAAAGCAGAAGTGTATGTGTGTGAGCTGTTTTTAAAGATTTACATCTTCAGAACAAACCAAAGTGCTTGGAGCTGAGTGTCACAGACAGGCTGGGGAAGTCTTAAAGTATTGAAAGACAGACTAAGGCTCTGTTGCTTTTGAACTTTTTATGCAATTTGTGGGCAAAAATACAAAATATTGCAAGTGTAAAGACAATGAGGATAGGAGTGGGGGAAAACTTGCTTACTGAGATTCCCAAAATCCCAGTATTGACTCATGATAAGCATTGTTGTTCAAGTTTATCTAATTAATTAGATAAAGAAGTATACGATTCTTGTACTAAATGTACTTTAATGCATGTAAAAAATATGAAAATACATTAATTATGTAATGCAAACCACTGATTCTCTGTTGGTTTTAATGCAAACAATCTGTACCTAACAAATGACTATCAAATAAGGCCAGTCCATTTTATTTGGGATTTGCGGTGAACAGCTTGGATGGCGGTCGGCAGTCTTGTAGTCTGATCTGACCCGAGCTCGACTGTGTGCGTTTGATGTGTGTGTGTTTCTGCTCACCGGTCTGAGCCAGCAGGGGAGTGCTGGGCAGGGCAGGTGACTCGTATGATGGATGGCTGGTGGCTGGGATTGCAGGTACGGCGAAGCTCTTGAGTGGGTGGGCGTGGGCGTGCGGGTGGGCTGAGCGGTGGGGGGGCAGGTTGCTGGAGTAGCTGGGCTCCTCCTCTGTGGTGGTGGAGCCGTGGTAGCTGCCCTCGGGGTCGGCCATGATCTCCGAGGGGCAGGACACCTGGGAGGAGGCGGTGGCTGGAGGGAGGGGCTCTGAACTGGGGGTATTCCTCACCGACTCTGGAGGAGGGGGCAGAGGGGAGTTGAGGTGAGACAATGAGCAGATGGGTTTACAGGCTTATTGCCAACCGGCTTCGCAAGGTTTTTAAATATATTTTAACTGAAAGAACTTATTATGTAATGGATTGCTTTACAGATGATTAAGTTAATCTTTCTGATATTGGGAAAGTGACGTTGTTTTACTCTTTTTTTATAGATTTCTTACAATATATGCAATGAGAGCACGGTGCACGAGAGCTGAAACAATTAGGTGGTAATCGATGAACAGAAAATTGTTTCTTTTCATTTAAACCTTTTAAGCAAAAAAAATTGTAATTGGTTTCAGCTTCTCAAATGTAAGTATTTGCAAGGTTTCTTAGTCTTCAATGGTAGTAAACATATCTTTTGAGTTTTGGACAAAATGTCAAAATATTGACAAATATCTACCCTATATTCAAATTAAAAACTGCATACTCACTGTGTAATATGTACCCCAAAACCGTATATGTTATATTACAAATGGTATAAAAAATATATACTTTGTATAAAACTAACACTTAACATTCTTGAAGCTGCAACCAGCAAACTGTTTTCAGCAAAAAGTTTAAATCATTGGCAAATCTGACCGCTTTCCTGGTGGCTTCGGTTTGTTTTGGTTAAAGTTGAGGTGAGTGGAAAACAGCATAAAAACATTATTTTAGGAGGCAGGGAGGTTAGAGAAGAGTGGTTAGTAACATTACAATACTACAATATGAACGTAGCAAGATGGCAGCTGCAAGTGAATGAATGAGCTAATGACAAATCAATGAATGAATATGACTGCTCTGCCCTTCTCTATACGTCTCCTGCTGTCCAGCAGGTGGCAGTCTCTCACCTGTAGAGTCCACCCTGTCTAGATGGGAGATGGGGGTGGCGCAGGCGTGCGGGCGTGGATGCCCGCTGCCCTGGTGGTAGAGGTAGCTGCGTGTCGGCGACGCCAGGCTGCCCATGTGATAATGGTGGTGATGGTTATCAAGGGAATGGATGGGGTGAGCACTAATCACAGCTGTGAATGAAAATGGACATGGATACACACACACACACACACACACAAACAGGATGAGATGTTTAACCAGCTGTAATAATGATGAAGGGTGTGGAAGTATTGCTGGTGAGATACACAAACATGCAATTTTCTGTAATAAACACACTTGAATATTCTCTGTTTGTCACTCAGTCACCAAAATCAGGAAGGAAGAAATTCATAAAAAAAAAAAAAAAAAAATGAACATTTGTGAGAAGAATGAAATGGGTGTATTTAGCATGAGATATATTTTGAAACTGGTAGTTTGCTAAAACGTCTGTGTTCTAATTTCCAAATTCAAAGTGAAGATTTTCAAAAACGGACTCCTCACTATCTATAAATTATGACAAGTTCTACTTACCACTCACACACGCACACACACACACACACACTTACGCTGAGGTGGCTGTGCGTCAAAAGGCATCATCATTTTAGGCCTCATCCCTCGTCGGCCTGCTAGTGTAGACATGCTGTCCTCTGATTCGTGGCCTAAAAGGTACGGTGGAAACCAGCCAATCAGAAAGATCTACTACTACTTTTGTTCTTTTTGTGTGATGATCCATCTGTAGATCTCAGGATCCTCAATCAGTTCTATACAATTGGGTTTTGGTTGCATTTCTAAATGTCACACTCACAACTGAGAGCTGTAGTGTTGGCAGTATGTGCTCGCCACACTGCAATCATGACAAGTAATGGGCATAATGTATGAAAAGCATGAAATGTTTTGCGTGGTAATCACAGAAAAAATAATAGCAAATGCAAGTGTTGACTTGTGAAACAAAAACACCACCAAATTCTCTTCCAGTCATGCTCCTGGAA